AAATATTTTCCAGAATTTTGAACCTTTCAAAAAGGTTTTTTTTTTAAACCTTTTCATTTCAAGAAAAAATTGCAAAACAATTTTAAAACAAGTTTCCAAGAATTTTAAAACTTTTAAAATAGCTTATCAAAGCTAAAGGTTCATCAAGAATATTTTAAAATATTTTTAATAAAAACTTTTCGGGATTTTAAAAATATTTTCCAAAATCTTTCCAAAAGATTTATCAAAAGAAATAATTTCCAAAATAATTTTCAACGAGTTTTCAAACTCAAAACCAACTTTCATCCTCTCTCCCTCCCTTAAGCATAGGCATATACAGACATAAAGTCTTTTATCCAAGCTTATCAAGAGAAGAGATGGGTAGAGAGAAGAAAGAGTTTGGAAATCAAACAAAAAAACTTTTGACAAGTAAAATCAATTTGAAAATAAAACAAAGACAAAGCTTTTGTAAAACATTTTTCCAAAGGATCTTCAAGTGAAAGTTTCAATATTTCTCCCTCCCTCAAGCTGGTATGACCAGATTCAATCTTTCATCCAAAGCTTTAAACAGAGAAAGAGGGGATGGAGAGGAGAATTCATAGATGGAAAAACAAAACCTTTTAAACCACAATCTTCATCATATCATTCTTTTCTCACGCTTTGGACACAGGCTATTACTTGGTCTTGCATGAAAGCTCAATGAGAAAGTGAGAGAGAGGAATCCTCGGATTGAAGAAAAGAAGAAAGAAAAAGAAGAAGTGAGTCCAGCCCAAGAGAGCAACCTGGCTCTGATACCATGTTGGAATTTGTGACGATTTGTCTCACATAAGAAGAAACACAATCAACTTGTGATTGAGTTCTTCATTAACCAACCAAATGAACTCACTTCAACATAATAAAAATGCATTAGTATGATACACAATCTGAATATTACAAGCAACATAACTAGAGAGTTTGTTATCATAACCAAAGAAAAGGTTCAGTAATCTAATGACTAACTAAGTAAAGAAAAGTTTAAGTATTGATTTGTGTATAAATTGGACAAGTAACAAACCGTGTATAACACTAACTCCCTACATTGTGAATAGCAATGAAAAACACTTAGTAAAGTAGAAAGAGCTACACGAGTTTATGAGAACTTGTCCCTTAATATTATTAATTCTGTGTATTTAATTACAAAGGTAGTGGCCTTTATTTATAGGCAAAGAGAGTAACATTTGAATTACACACGAGAACAAATGCTGAAAGTGACAGCACATCAACGTCTCTATCCACTTGACTTTCTTAAGCAAACACGTGATCCTTACTTCCTCTTGGAGCTTCTTTCTTTTCTGTATTATTTAAATTGTTTCTCGAAGGAAGTGGTTGACACAGTGATCTTCATACGATTACATCTGAAGTTGGCGCCTATCATTTGAACTCAAACACTCTTCTTTTAGCCGCCAACTTCACACCATATAATTTGGGCTGGGCCTTGACCAATCTTCACCACATATAGTCTTTTGGACCAATCTCCATCTTGGCTTCACTTGGCTTATTCCCATCTTCAACATTGCATACAATCGATGCCTTCTTATGCAAGTCTTCATTATTTGCAACACACTTCATGATTCTTAAGCCTCCATTGCTTCTTATACAAAAATTTGATCACCTTCTTGATGTTTTGCACATGTGATAGGTTTTATTCTTGGCGAAGTCATGCTTTGACACTTCTCTTCTTCTTCTTATTTGATGTGAAGATGCTTAGCCTTCACTTCATGTTTGGCCTTTCATCTCCTCATTCTAATACCTTCTTCTGTTCTTGCACTTAAAATCTTTTCTTTTTCAGCTTTGCTTTGTAAGAACTAGTTTCATTTAATGAACTTCTGTATTTGCCTTTGATCTATTCTTGTTTATTCTGCTTCCTAATCATGCTTAACCATTGTTTCTCTTTGGAATTTGTGGTTTTGACTATGGCTAGTGAGTAGTCTTATTTAGGGTTATGATTGTCTTCTCTCTATTAGATGTGCTTAACAATAGATTAGTCTTGGCCATGCTTGTTTAGTATTTTGGCTTTCTTTTGCGCCTGGAAAGTGTTTGATGAAATATTGCTTAGAGTCTCTTAGAGGATTTGTATGCTTAGCCTAAGGAATTAAATGTCTAAGGTGCATTTTGGCTTTATAGGATTGGAATTCTGTTTTGAATGCTTGCTGATCATGTGTTTGAGTAAAGGGATTTATCTGAAATATGTGTTTAGCAAAGTGATTAGTGTCAAGGAATTGAGCTAGTTATAGTTGTTAATCATATGCCTAGAAGATAGCATTGTTTGAATGGTCTTGAAACATCACTAGTTAGGTTCTAATCCCATTTTAATCAATAACCTCCATCTTAGATCGTTACTTAATCTGTTTGAATTTTCTGCTTTGCTTAGATCAGTATTTATACTTGTTTAGTTTGTTCATAACTGCTTTCTTGAATTTAGCTTGACTTAAGTTATTTGATGTATTCTTGGTGTCTTAAGAACTCAGATGTATTGATACCTTAAATGTTGTAATGACATGAGTGTGTTTGGATTTGCTTAGCTAGTCAAAACATCAGCTATCAATGCTGATGTTGTTTGATAGATAATTTACTGGTCTTAGCTCAAGAGATTGACTGTCTGAGAAGTATTTTGGCTTGAATATAGTTGGTTTTTCTTGCTTGTTGATTGTTCTAGCTTTAATGAGAGTTAATTCTTGTTAGGATAATTAGCAAATGGTTATTTGTCAAGAGATTGAACTTAACTTGCTTGATTGTGAACTATATGCCTAGGAATTAGCATTGCTTGCTTGTTTGCATTTTCAATGATGTTTGAAACAGCCTTGTCTTGCCCTTGACTTCCCCAAAGTCAATAACCACATTTAGGAGCTTGTTTTCCCTTATTTAATTTTTAATTTGCTTTAGTACTCTGTTTTTATTGCTCTGTTTTTCTTTGAATCATTGCTAAGTTGTTCTCTTTTAGATTATGCTTGGTTCTTGGTTCACTTATGTTGATATTTTAGTTGCTAAGCAACACTCTTTCTCTAAATTCACTTGACTTAAGGCTTTCTGCTCATAATTCTATTGGGATCTAGCTTAACCCCTTGGATTGACATAAAACCCTATCTTGTACTACATCTGATTAAGTACAAGAGTGATTGACCAAGAGACTCAAAGCTCTTGTATCAAGGAGTCTAAAGCAACAAAGAAAGAAAAAGGCACAAAGAGCCTAAGCACCAAAAGATGGAGACTCCTCAAGCTAACAAAAAAGAGCTGCCAAGTGAAGAGCAAAGAAGGCCACATCATGAAAAGAGCAAAGAAGAGAAGCTTCTTTAGAAAATGGTTTAGTGTGAGAATGAAAAGTGTAGAATATGATTGATTTTGTGAGATTAAAAGTTGGGTCAAGAAACACTTTAGGCATTTGGGTAGATGAGAGTTTATCCTTGTGTGCATAGGTTGTTCTTTACCATTAGCATTTCGCCAATGTTCATTCTTTCTTTGAGAGATCCCTTTGCTTATTTAAACCTACATTATGAGATAATTTTAATCTCGTAACCTCATCCCTAGCCAAATGTTTTCTCTTGATTTACATAAGCATGATCCATGGATAACTATTAATGTATGTTAAAGAGTTGGCTCATAGGAATGCAAGTGTAGGCTAAGTATGCTATCTTCATTGAATTGTGATGAGTATGGCTAAGTTTTTAAAGTAGAATGAGTTTATGTATGCATCCTAGAATTGACAACATGGACATTGATCTGATTTCTTCCATTGGCATTTTTAGATTTAAGCCCACCTTCAAGCCTCTTTCTCTCTTATTTGTCTTTGATTGCTTGAGGACAAACAAAAGGTAAGTGTGGGGGAGGTTGTATCCTCTATATTTATGCCATATTAGCATGCATTTAGCATTAGCTTTTAGTCTCTAAACATACATTTATACTTGTTCTTGTCTCATTTGCATCTATTTGGAACTTAAGGTATGTTTGGCATATGCAATGCATGTTTGGTGTATTTGGAGTATATGGCATGTACATTTGAGGTGTTTATAGACTATAAGAAGCTTTGGAGATGATCATGGAGTCAAGCCAAGGCAAAACAAAGAGGAAACAGATAGTTAAGGGGCCACATCGAGGTGCACATCGGGCATCATGCTCGATGTGGAGTGCATCGAGGTACACATCGACCAGGCGCAGCCGATGCAGCGCAACATAAGTTTACACGGAGTTGGACATCGAGCAACCAATCCTGATCCACCGATCCAGAGGTCCACATCGAGCTGGACATCGGGCAACCACAGCCGATAAATGCCCTACATGGCATCCACATCGACGTGCGCATTGGACAAGTGTTGATCGACGCATCAACCCTGAAGTCCACATCAAGCAGCACACCGAGCAGATGATGGCCAATGCACCAAGGTGGAAGATCCACATCGACATGCACATCGACCTGTGTTGATCGATGCATCAACCCAGAAAGCCAACATCGAGCAACACATCGACCTCTCTCGGCTGATGCAGGCCGTTCGAACCAAGAAATTTCCAGTCCACTCCTGGTTTATTATGATTGCTTAGTGTTGACTCTTTCATATCCCTTTTTATTGATACTCTTAATGCTAGATTAACTTTTGGTAAGTTAATTTAGAACCTAAGCTTCACTTATGACTGCCAAGTGTTTGTTGAAATGTTTGAACTAGTCAAGTAAGAAATTTGATTATCTTAGCCTAAGTAATTAGATAGATGAGTTATTCTAATTACATTATCTTCACAACTAACCGACAGGGGCGAAGCTACATGTAAAAAAAGTGTGGGTGCAAGTGCACCCGTAATAATATAAAAATTAAAAAATTTATACTATATTGTTAATCTGAAATGGCTTATTTGGCTAAAGTGCACCCATTATTATCTAGGGATCAGAGTTCGATACCCTCATTATTATTATTTTTAATAAATATTTTATTTATATATGTTAGATTGCACCCAGTAAAAAATTGGTCTGGAACCGATGTATTGAAGGTAAAATGTATAAGCACAAACTTAATTTTCTATGAAAAACGAGCACAATGGTGAAGTGAATGAAATATAACTTACTTAAATGGATACACGGTACCTGGGCGTAGAAATCACCTAGTAAAGAGATTTAAGAGAACTGACTTTCTTTTCTTTTGAGAGGCCTTCGGCCTTTAAATCCCACTCCTATTAAATATATCCGAATACATAAGACAGACAAGGACATTCTAATTCACCTATCAACTGAGTGAGCTAAGGCAAAACCCCTAACTTAGGTAACAAGGTAAGGAATTTCACATTTTGCATGCTCTTTCCACTCATAAACCCTAGGAAAATTACAGCTTGGAATAATAAAATCTGCCTCACTATCTACCTTGTACACACAAATCATTCACTCCCAATTGTTTTCCTAATTATTTGCTACAAACCTACTCCACAAACGACCGAGCCACGGCGATCTGATCTCGCCAGATCCGGTACATTCAGCATGGCCTTCTTCCGCGGTGCTGAATAGGGTTTGATCCGTGCAGTCTAAGGAAGCCCCACACGCCATATTGTAGGACTGACATGCCGAGTGGCATACCCGTAATCTATCGTCTCCATCGATATCACACTTCTGGATCGATATCTGGTTTAAAGCGAGATTATAATGAACAAGTCATGTCAAGGAGAAACTTAAACAAATTAAATAAATCCCAAGAGAATGGTGCTTACCCAACAGGCTAGTCTTTTCGCTGCTTCATCGCAATAGCTGTTACCGAAAATGTTAAATAACTTCCGAGCCCCGCCTGGAAACAACCTATTGTAGTTGGGCATGACCACGACTTCCTCAAGCTGTTGGAGTATGCTAGGCTCTTTTGGAGCACAATGTTGCCCTGATATCTCTCTCTCCAAGACATCTTTGCACACTAATAAACTTGTAACTAGTTTAGAGCTGTTCTGACATGTGTATCCAGCATAATCAGAGCAGCGGAACTCGCAAACCCCATTATCGCAAACTCCTCCGTGTAGGCTGCATTGTTCATCGCACACGGCTGTATATAGTTTAGAAGAAATCGTTTTGTCGGATATAGTATTTGATAAATGTTCTTCACAAAAGAAGCAATATAACTATGGACATTTACCAGTAGAACAGTCAATTCCAGTAAAGCCATTTTCACATATGCATACACCTTGAGTTGTGCATTTTCCGTGTCCATTGCAATTATTAGGACAAGAACCTGCATTGTGAAAGGCAAAACTTGTAAGTTCAGATCTTCGGGAAAGATAGAGACCATGTACAACGATTTAAATGTAAAGGATATAGGACTCTCTTACGGTTTTTACAGTCTTGGCCATGATAACCAAGGAGACAACGACACTTCCCATCAACACAATCTCCATTAAAGTTACAAGAATTAGGACATTGACCAAGCACAGAAACTACGGGTGTACCGCAGAGTTCATGGTAAGCCGGACAAGTTAATTCACCTACAAACCAAAACATTAATGGTTGAAAAGATTTCTTAAGAATATGTATAAACTTCTTTAGGGGAAGATAAAGAGCATTTTTACCATTAAAACCTGGAAATTGAATTGGTCCACCAGCTTGAGGGCAAAATTTCCATTCTCCTTCGACAGCAACCTAAAAGAACATTAGAATAAGCATAGAAGCTCACGTCCAATAGCAAAGAAAAAAAACAGAAGAAAAAATGTCAGGACAAGGATGAACATGTTGAAGGCATACCTCCAACAAATTATGTTTACACCTGTGCTGATAACAACCATTCCCCTGTGGCATGGAACCCCTAACAAACCCAGTACGCACTAAAGACGAGGCCATACACCTATACAGAAGCCAAAACTCTTTCATGAGAAATAAGCCATGCGGAATATTCACAAACATTCAATGAGATATATAACTCGCAAATAACCTGGAGTCACTCCCTCTCACTTCACCCAACATTCTGTCAGGTGCACGTGCACTATTAATATCCGTACAAGACCCATCTGAATAGGCAACAAAATATGTACAATAATCTGCTAAGGAAGACTGACCGCCTGCAAATATGTTGAGTATAAAAATTCATAAGATTTTCTTTAGCAGACGAGAAACCAATACAGGATTGGATTACTGAATAGCAAATTATGCTTTCTAGATAATACAGCCAAGACAAGAGTAAATCACATTGTGTATCAAAATTAATATGTACAAGCAGGAACCATCTTAAGAAATTAGTATAAATATAACTGAAATATTAGATTATTGTATCAGGATGTTACAACTTCTCAACAGGACTGACCTTTGTTAGCCTGAGGAAAGTAACGAGCCCATTGAGGCAAGTCTCCATTGTAACTTAGAATTGGACAGTAACCTTCAGCCTCTCTGTTGTATGTACAGCCGGATAGTTGGGTTGTGTTACAATGATAAGCGCCTTTCCACATGTTACATGGAGATGTGACAAACTGAGTCCCTTGGTTCCGGCCCCAATCAAGACGGTCTGCCATGCTATAGTTAGCCTTATACCAGCCACTATCCTCCAATAGCGCAAGAGTCATCTTTGAAACGACTGATCTTGTGTCTACTGATCCAGTCATTATCTCATTCATGAGGAGTCTCTTTTCCCAGTGTGAACCCGATGTGCCACGCCCTCCTCCATCCTCAAGTTCTAAACCCGAGAAATTCTGAGAAAATGCCTGTTCAGTTGAACATTTGACAATCTTAGGACTTCAGGAAAAAAAAACTAGGGTTACAGGAATTAACTTGCAAAGATGCATTGATTCCTGGGAAGGAGGTAACCAAAAACGTTTAAACTCACTCCGTAATGATGCCGTGAATGCATGACAACTCGTGGAAGCACCACGCGCGTCACTATCCGACCAAGCTTTTCATCCATTTGTTGGTCAGTGACCTAAGAAATGAAAAAAATGGGCTTATTCCAAGGTGAGTGGAATAGAAAATACAGTGCTCTCATTCATATGAAAAAAAAAAGCCCGAGGCATGCTAATTAAGAGGACATTTGATTCTCATCTTATACCTCGGTCCGTCTTCTTTTCCTTTCATCTCTAAAATGCGCAAAGGCATGCGGATCAAAGCCAAGGACATGCATAACCTCATGAATGAGAGTTGCTGAAAGCAAAGTCCCAGATTCCGAAGTCAAGTGGCGGGGAGCAACATTGACATGTCCTGAAAAAGGACATACCTCTTGACTTTACTTCAAAGTTTAAACTCATAGCAATGCATGGATTTCAAAAGATAGAGAAATAACCAGAGGAGATGGACTATTACCAGCAATTGCACGTCCCCATTGATCACGTTCGCAAGCTACAGCCCATGCGAGTGTATTACCAGTAGTAGGTCTTGTGGTCACCAGTAGAACTAAATCAGTATCAGCAATACCCTCTGTGTTCGAAAGAAACTGATTAGACCAAAATAAACCTAGCAAGACAACAACGAAGGACAAGACAAAACAGTAACAAAATTACCCTCCACATATTCACGAGGAAGCTGCACACCACCATCTTGCCCGCAAGCGGAGTATCCACTTAAACGCAAATTCCCTTTCACAGGTTCAACAGATAAGGCTCTTCTGAACCAATCTGCAGTCTGCTCTAAGGCCTTCACTATGCAAGATTTACAAATCAGTACAACTGTGTAACAAGTAACAATCACAAATCCAAGACAAAAATAAAATCAAGTGAACCTTGCGTAGGCGATGCCGTTTGTCCTCCCCAGATATGTCATCTAAAGTGCAGTTATACCAACAATCACCAGAAACTGGAGGTTTGACATTAGGATTGCAAGCAGGAACAGCAGAGAAAGTGCTTGAAGGAGGCTCACCCAACTGAGTTAATGGCAGACGGAAAACAAATTAGTTCAACAGCTTAAAAAATCCCTAACTTTCCCACTTCTGTAAGCTTCTGAGAATGCCCACCTTCACGATATCGCCAACTCTTTGGCAATCCCGGTCAAGTGAGTGACCAACAGCATCATAGTTTAAGTAAATCCTGATAGGTTGTTTCACATCCTTCTGCTCCTTAGGAACACTTAACAATGCCCTTCCTTTGTGAGGATGTGATTTCACAGCACTTCTTGGCTCGTGATAAACCTGAGGAGTAACCGAATATACTTTTCGACCCGGTGTCTTCCTCTGTTCTATGATCTGATCATGGATGCACGAATGTGAAGATACTTCATCAACTTCACTTTCAAGACCTTGCAAGGGTATGTGGTGATGCCTTGCTTTTGCATCAGCAGCTCCAGAACACAATAGAATCAACAAAATCTGGAAACAAAAGAATTTGCAATTGAACTATTAAACCTATATAATGCACATTGGTTGCAATAACTTTCATAGCTACGAACTGTGTAAATAAGAAAGTACTGTCTAAACAAAACGAAAATGAGAAATTTGAAGAAAAGGGAAAGTTGAAAGTAGAAAAAGGCAACAGAGATCTCACTTTTAGAACTTAACCTCCAATGTTGCTCAGAAATAATATTTTTTGATTATTCCAAAATCTAGCTGAGGATCAAATTGGCGGAAAATGAAACAAAAAAAAATCCAAAACCCAGCTCAAATTCTCAGAAACCACATTTCAAAATCAAACGAATCCGTCAGAAAAAGTAACACGAAATCCCCCAAATCCCTAATTCCACCGTCACGGAAACAGTAGTACAAAAATCCATGGCGGCGGATGAAACTTACCCCAGAAATGACGAAACCGGCGGCGAATCGGAGCTGGATTTTGACAAAGAGCCTAGAACATGAGCCACACGGGACTACAATCTCCATGGAATTTCCAGAAAAACAGCTTCACTTCCATCAAATCTCCGGCGAGTTCTCGATTATAAAAGAAACAGACACATCGCATTTCATGGGTTTTCCAGATTTCAGCTCACACAACTCAAAAGAAGAAGAAGAAGAGCTCCAACAAAAAATAAAGCAAATTCAAGCTCTCCGGTAGAGAAAAAAACTAATAAATAAATTAGAAAAGGTGGATCGGAGCGTAGATTACTACTTATCGAGCTTTGAAATTTTCAATAAATGGAGATTAGGGTTTTTGGGTAAGACTGATTCAAAACAGGTGATCTAGATTCCAGCAACTTAAAAATACCAAAGATTTGGGTTTTCTAGTTTTTTCAGAAACCTCTCTCTCTCTCTCTTTCTCAAAACAAGTGACACTAAAGTATGAGAGAGAAAGAAACACAAAAAGCAGAGAGTCAAATGGATTGGGTAGGAGTGGGTGTAGGGTAGATGATTGTTATTGTTATTGTTATTGTTATTGTTATTGTTGGTAAAAGCGAATCCAAATTTCGTGCAATTGCGTATTAATAATTACAATTAAAATGTTTATGGGTACAAGCTCAAATATTTATTTTGAAACTTTATGGCTTAGTTTGCACTTCAAAAAAAAGACGTGATATCAAAATAGTTGAACAAAAAAAGTGGAAGTTGATTTCCATTACATTTTTGCAAATAGAATGCATAAACATCAAAAGTTATAAACAAACCATTAATTTGATTCTACACTAATATGAAATGGTTGAATCAGGTCGAATAATGAAGCTCGTGAAACAATTGAAATCTGCGTTTCTAGACGATATGCAAATTTCATTTTATCTTTTGTTATATCGTTTGAGCTTACAAACATTTATAACATTTATAGATAAAATAAAATCGAAACAAGATATTTTTGTTGGGTCTTTTTTTACTATATAACCAATACCAAGATGGATATCAGATTTTACTAGATAGTTGACTTTTTCTTCTTAAGTTTGTTATCGATTCTCTAATAGACTGTTCCCACACAGGTAATGTGCTTAATGAGTTAGACATATTAAATTAAGTCGCCTGCTTCCACGATACGCCATACAGATGGAACAAGACTAGTTAGAAAATGTATAAAAAGAGATCGAAGACTAAAGAAGAAAGATAAGTCGGATACGACGAATAAGTCAAAAATGACAATGAGAGACCAGATTCATGATCTGAGAGAATCCGATGAAGATCCATACACACTACTAAGACATCTGGAGGAGAAGGGGAAAACTTTCGACTCTCGTCCCATTGGAGCTCACCTTGAGCCTCCGAAGTCAGCAGAACCAAAAGGCAATGCTCACCGTCCCCCAAAGGATACACCTGCCAAGATAAGCGTTTTTCTCTCTTTTGTTCATTATTCCACACCCGTGTGAAGAGAATTTTCACCCCACTTTTCTCACAGTCCATCTATTTCAGATGAGTGTCATGATCCTCGGACGGAAACCACTTCAAAATCCACTTTTCCGAATACCCGTTTCCGGTAGGACGTTCACAGACTTGAGCGTTGGAGAACCTTCAGAAAGGAAACCATTTCGGTCCATCCGGAGGTCCGGCTCACTCGTTTGCCTGTATTCGCAAGACCCGTCTGACTTCCGTCCCAGAGCCGTATGTCGCTTATCCCCGAGAGAATTTATACCTCTGCATATTGCATAATTCTACGCATACATTTGTGGTACTTTAAGATCCATTTGCGCATAATCCCCTTAGTTATAACTCCATTTGCATCCATCTTAAAGTTACCATGAATTAGGTTAGGTTTTGGTCATTTATGCATGTTTCGAGTCCTTATTAGGTACTTAAGAAGTGGAGGTTACATGGGAATGGCTAAGGTAAGGAACCAATAGGGCCGATAAGCCAAGGAAGGTCAAAATGCAAAGAGCCAGACGTTTTCTCCTGTAACATCAGGCTACCACAACGGTTTGTAGAACAATAAGATCGACACAAGAAAAGCATATCAGACAACCATCACAGTTTATGCTCGACACAAAATACCCTAGTTCGTACACGAGACGATCTTTCATATATTATCAGGGTATCGCAACAGGCGAAGACCGATGTAAGCCCTGTGCAGAAAGAGACCTTTGATATGCTCATTATTTATACCATATTAGCATGCTTTCATCACTAGTTTTTGGTCTTTCAACATGCATTTTTCACTTCTTCTTGCCCCATTTAGATTTATTTAGGACTTAGAGTAGTTTTAGGTGTTTCATTGCATTTTGGTTGCATTTAAAGTTGTGGCAGGGGCAAATGAGGTGTTTATAGGCCATATGGAGCATTGGCAGTGAGTTAGGAGTGAAGCCAAGGAAGAACAAGGGCGAAGGGAGCAATCTTGAGCTAGATATCGGGCAAACATACCCGGTACTATCCATACCGGGCTGCATCTCGGCCACAACAAGCCGATACAAGAAGCACGGGAAATACCGTGGAGCATACCAGCCAAGGCAAGTCGAGACACTTGGGACAGGACACTTGTGCTGGTCGGAGTATCAAGCAAAAGAGAAGCTGATATGCCTTAACTGGCGATTATATCAGCCTGTGTACCAGACAAGATTACCCTGAGACGACCCATATCGGCCTGCGTACCGGGCAGAAGGAATCCGATACAAGAGGAAGAAATTTATACCAGCTTGTGTATCGACCTAGCCAAGCTGATATAGTGCACCCGAACCAGCTTTAATCCGGTTTACTCTTGGTTTATTAGGGATATTCCTCCCACCTATAAATATGTAAAGATCTAAAATCATTAGACGATCTATCTTTTATTGTTCTAAGCTTAAAAACCTTCCTTTTTCAGTAAACTTTGTAAGATTCTGGTTTTGTTTAGTTGATTTCTGCACTTCCCTCTATATTTTCTTGTTCAATCTTCTTCCTAATCATGCTTAACCATTTTTCTCTATAGGTTTTGTGGTTTTAGCTATGATTAGTGAGTAATCTTTTTTTTAAGGTTTGAGATGGGATATATTATGAGGGTTTTAGACTAGATTAATGATGTCTTGTGCTTAATCATATTGTTTCCTCTCTATTTGATCTCTTAATACTTGGTTTGCCTTGATCAAACTTGCTTAGGTTTTTAAGTTTCTCTTATGCTTATGAAGTGTTTGTTGTAATGCTGATAATATCATTTAAAGGATTCATCTATTCTAGCCTAAGGGATTAGTTCTCTAGAAGGTATGCCTAAGACATTAGTTGTCTATAAGGTATTTTGGCTTGATAGAATTGGTTGTGTTTGCTTCTTAGCTATTTAATCACTAATGCGAGTTAGTTCTTGGATAGCTTGTTAGCAAAGGGGTTTTCACCAAGGGATTGGGTTAATCTATCTTATTTGAATTCTATGCTTAGTAAATAACATTGATATATGTTTAGTGAAGCATCATTGATCATTTTAAGACCTCCCTTCATTAATAACCTCATCTTGAGTCCTTCTTTTATCATTAATAGTACCTTGTTCGAATTCTGCTGTTTGGTTAGACTTATTCAGTTTGTTTTTGCTTGTTTAAGGTTGATCATTGCTTATTCTCTGATTTGGCTTGAATTAGATAGTCTAGTGCATTCCTATTGTCTTAGAATATCCCAATTGGATTAATACCTCAAATACTGCAATGTCATGGGGTTTGAGGAATGGAAGTAGCAAAACACCTGCATCAACTTTATCGACTCCATCCTGATGTGAAGCCCGATACGAGACTGCCATCGACGAGCCACAGCGGCCTTGGAATGTGGTGCGGCTCGGATCCGTCCTATGCGAGTAGTAAAACACCTGCATCAACCTTATCGACTTCATCCCGATGTGAAGCCCGATACGTGACTGCCATCGACGAGCCACAGCGGCCTTAGAATGTGGTACAGATGAAGATAAAAGACAAACAATAAATATATCAATCTCTAAGCAAGGACTATGCATCAATACTAATCCAATCACTTGCTACTAATTCTTTTTCTAATCATACTCCTAACCCACTTTCAATGGTGGAAACATAATCAACAATCATTAAACACAAAGTCTATAAAACCAAAAAGCACCTTAGACAACTAATTCCTTACGCTAAACACACTTGTCTCTTGTGCAATGGGTCAAACATCAACTCACACTTCCATTCATAATCAATGTCTAATGAAATTTCTCAATCCCTAAAGTACTCTAGCATTAAGCTTAATCATGCAAGTAATGATAGATGCAAATAGTCATGACAATCAGTACACCATTTTCAAACAATAAACTTCATTCAAACATTTTATCAAACACCTAAGATGCAACAAAACGCCTAGGATCTATTTCTCATAAAGGGAGATACTTGGCGTTAAGTACAATCACACAAGAAGAGATTAACAAATATCTAACACACTAACACATTAATCCTTCATTGAAACTACCCTAATCTACCATAATCTCAAACTTAAAATTGACTACTCACTAATCATGTGTAAATCCACAAGGTTATGGCTACACATGATTATTAGTAGATAAAAGACAAAGATTAAAAGAGAAGTACACGACTTTATTGAAATATAAACTTCATAATCAAACTTGTTTTTAAGGGAAGTTCTTGAAAATAAAGAAAGAGTTTTTGGTTTAGATGTAACAAGATAAGAAAATAACATGGATAAGATGTTTTTAGACCAAGCCTATTAATAGGAGATACCCAAAATAGGCTTGGTCAACTAAAATAAACCTAGTCAACAGAGTTAACTCTTGGTCAACAATCCAAAAATAGCTCATATCGAGCAAGGCCGAAACAGGCCCTCCACGGTACATGTGCTCGGAGCGTGCTGAAGAAGCTGCGACTGAATTTTGGCTCAGCTGAAGTCTCATCCTTGGTTCGCACCGTGCACTACTTCAGATGGCTCTCCTCGTTGTCGTCCTCTTATACCGGGCTCGGTTAGCATGAACCTCCTCGGTGCATTTGCACGGTATGAATCTTGGTTCAGCATCTCGGTAATGGCCCTTGAACATTGTACGCACCGGACAGGGATAAAAGTGACCTCCACGATGTGGCTCCATGATGTGACTTCTGGACGGGCTGAAAACTTGTTTCCAGCTTGATTCCTCTTCTCCACTCGATCCACCATTCTTTGAGTGCCCTCCTCAGCACCTCAAGAGCCCTAAAATACACTCAAAATGCAAGGATGTATGCAATCATAAATCTAATGCAAACTAAGTCTAAAATGGATGAAATTTGGACACTTAGGACCTAAAAGGGATGGAATGAAGTGAAAACCTAAACTAAATGATACTTAATATGATATAATAATGCATGCTATCAAATCCCTCACACTTAGCTCTTTGCTTGCCCTCAAGAAATCAAAATGAACAAGGTGGAAGAGAAGTTTCAAAATGGTGAACTCGTATCCAAAAATGATATTGAAAGATCAAGTCAATGCCCATGTTTTCAATTCTAAGATGCACATGATGTAACCTGAAGAGAGATTTTTGC